CGCTCGGAAAAGTGTCTAAAATGTGTTCCCGACACTTTAACTTAAAAAATATGCCATGGGTATTTTTTTCGAAATTGTTTTAGAGTCAATATTACTACAAAATTACATAGTAAATTACATAGTAAAATAATTTTTATAACTAAATATAAACGAAAATTTGAATTAAATGCTTCAAATCGATCGCCATCTTAGTACCGCCATGTTTGTTGAAAAAAATACCCATAGCATATTTTTGAAGTTAAAGTGTCGGGAATACATTTCAGACACTTTTCCGAGCGATACTAACACATTTTTATTGAGAAAATAGCGGAAGAAGAAAAAATTACCCCTAAAAACATGAGTTATTTTAATTTTATTTTGCAAAAATTTTGTATAAATTGCGATTTTTTAAAATTTTCTTAACACTATTCGATAGAACATTGAAATTGGTAGGAATGATACTCTTTGTAAACAACAGACCTCATTTCCGTAGTAAAATAAATGGCTCAAATTAACGTAAAATTTCAGTACATTTGGACGTTAATGGGTTAAAACAGGTTCGAGCAAATATGGTTCGTAATTGTAACGACAAAATTTAATTGCTGCGTTTTGCTCTCCCCATGCATACAATGGCAAATCCACGATGTCGTTTGCAAGCCGTCATAGATTCGCGAAAATTTATCAAACGCATTTTCATCGAGAAGCTTCACCGATAATTCACGGCCTCAACAAAATTTTCCTCAACGAAAGAAGCCCCAAAAATACCAATAATGCACAAGTTAACGAATAAATGAACGAATCTAAACGCTTTCACGAATTAGTGAGGAATATATAGAAAACAACTGTGCACATTCCCTCTCCCCGATCAAAAATAACTTCGGAAGAATTTCACGTGGTTGGAAAGTGGAGCAAAGAAAGACACAACATCATTCATACATGCAATTAACACGATTAAAAACATAGTAATGTCAGTCAAATCGTGTGTACCACACGGACAGAATTTTATAGTAAAAATTAATGTAGGATTTTGTAACTGAGGAACAGACATTTCGCGTACAGTAAACATTCTTCAATAATTCACTATCCCTTCATTTCATCTGTACTGTTTATATTTTAGGAACTGAAGTGTGTTACTAAAATACCTACTATGTTTTTAGCGAAATTTACTACGCTGAGAAAGAATATTTGAAAATTTATTTGTAGAACATAAAGTTTATTCCTGTAAAATAAGGTTCATACTTTTTAAATATTTATTTCTTAGTATATGTTCTTTGTGCTGGCAGTTTATTCCCGGACTGTTAAAAATATAGTAAAACTGAAAAGAATTTATATAACCGTTTAATCTGCTTTAAAAAATTATTTTTACAATACTATAGATAAAAGAAAGGATAGTTCCACTTAAAGACATGAAAATGATCTTCATATTTTAACGAGAAAAAAAATGTTTTTGAAAATATTATTACCGCACTTTATTGCCATTTAATAACTAATTAATTGCATTTAGAATTTTTTTCTATTCGATTATTGTAACTAGTAAAAATGGATACCGTTATAGTGAAATACCTGCATAAAAATTACTTTTCAAAATAATGTTCTTTCTTAATTTAAAATAAATTCTCTCTTGCAAATTTCACAAATATTGCACTTCGTGTTGTCACTTCGACCTCTGTTATAACCGATATGACACGTCAGTAGCGGCTTTCAATTTTGCCAATTTAAAGCGTTGCAGCATCATTCAATGAGAAGTGTGTGAGCCAATTTACAACCGACTACACGCGTTAGCAACCAATGATAAAACGCGCGATAACAATTTGTATAACGGAAGAGAAGATGTACTTGTACGTTGCAAACTTTCTCTTTTCTCCCTTCCCTCTAAAGCAGACAGCGCGATGAATTTTGTTAATCTGTTTTATGTATCCTTTCCCTGACACATTTGTTAATAAAATTTTGTTCCTATCTAACAACGCACGATCTAAAGTGACGTCTTAGATTGTCGATAATCTCATTCGCAAATGATTTTTTCAATTTTTTCGCGTCGATATAATGCAAAATAACAAAAGTGGTGTTTTGAAGTTATCATCTATATGTCATTAATTTATGATTTTGTACATTCGATGAGTAATTCCGATGCGCGATTCGAGGGCACTAATTACACATACAGCATCCAGTTTTCGCGTACTCGGTACTGGCTGGGAAAGCGTCGGTTGAGAAAGTGCGCGTGGACAGGCGCAAGTTCAATGTCGTCGTTATCGCGAGCGAGTCTTACGCTGTAAAATCGCCGACGTACAGGAGAGAGCACGCGAATACCCTCTATTAAACGGCGATTATTAATTAGTCGAGTCACGCGACTTCCCGCGAGAATCGTCACGCGTCGTGAAATATTTCAAGTCAAGGAAGAAAGTCGACGAGGTTACTCCCGACGAGGGAAAAAGCGCCGTAAGTGGGCGAACAATCGCCCGCATTTAATCGCGTTTTTCCGTTATTTTTCCGAGTAAAAGGTTTCTGTTTTCCACGGCTCTGCGGCTGTCAATGCGATCCCTTAAATGTTTCTCGAGGAGAAAATCGAGCATGAATTAGTCGCAGAACAAACGACGCCACGCACACAAACACATGGGAAAATGCATACCGCATACAAGTAAATGTTATTTGTTTCGAGTATCTCATAAATTTCTATAGTCGCAAATCCATCACAAGTTCATCACGAGCATTAAATTTGTTCAAAATGTATTCTAAATCCTAATAAGTTTGGGATTTTAATCGAGAATATCAAATTGAAATAAAAATTTGATTTACTAGAATAGACTTATTCTTGGATACAGTTTTATGTGATATTCTTGTAAAGAGAATAAAAATTTTTCTTTGGAAAAAGCACATGATAATGATCTTATATTGAAAAAATACTTAAAAATTTATTTGCAGAATAAAAGTCTGTTTCATAGACATAAAGCTTCCCACAAATGAATTTTCAAATATTTTTTTCTCACTGTAATTAAAATCAGTGAAGAGTACATTCCAAGACTATTATCAAGCAAATATTCTTTATTGAAGATAATCATTGCACTGAAAGAAAAAGCCTTGCTAATTTAACAAAATTAAGTGTGGAAACATGCTATGTAAGAATCAGATGATTTCTCGAAATAATTTGCGATCTTGGCTATTCGTTTCCTAGTCATTGGGCAATTCGATATTATAATGTAATTCTGGAAAGTGCGTAGATTGAATTTTATCTTCCATGATTATTTAACGACGCAGAAAAAAGAAAGGAAAAGAGAAAGAGAGAAAGAGAGAGAGAGACGCACGTGGTATCCGACAGTTTTATACCATTAACGCGTGTCGAATATGATTTAATGCTAACAGCTGCGCGGTTTATAGCGGGAATATTAGCGATGTTCGAGAGCGTTTTGTCGCGACACGCAATCGCGCACGATCGAGCATAACAATTTGCAACAAGAGGAAAGCGACGATATCCGCGGCGAAAGTAAAATTGTCCGTAATTATCGGGCGACTTGGCTAACTCACGTATTGACTCACGACAAATCGCTGAGCAAAGACTGCTCATTTAGACATCAAACAATAGCGCGCCAATTATACGACATAAAGCGATAAAGCGTCTTATCTTCAGACCGCGAGTAAGACAAAAATCGATTTGACTTTTATTTTCCGATGATAACTAGCGTCATGCGAGGCACAATAAACGACGCAACGGAGGATCGTATAACTGGAAAATTACGTATCAACGGAGCAACGTGTATGCGATAACAATTGGGTCATTAAATACTAATATCTTCGGCGCAAATATATAGTGTCAGTGATAAAAATGTTAACTACATATTTGTCGACCAATTCGTGGTAGATTCTTTCCCCAAGTGAAACACATCAAAACGTCAATAGTTAAAGCAAAACAACCTCTTTCGCAAATTAAGATCTTACTTTACAGTTATGCAGTGAGATCTTGCGAATTGAAATACCAATGAGTGTTAGTTAAATACAGAAAAATATCATTCCACTCTGCCACACTAAGAAAGATACTTGAAAATTTATTTGTGAGATAGAAAGTTTATTCACAGAAATTTTCAAGTGTTTTTTCTCAATGTAAGAAAAGCAATTAGGTCAATTTAAAGAAGAGTTGCCGAAATCGTACCTCATATTTATTTCTTTATTATTATTGAATGAGCAACATCTAATGATAAAAACGAAATGTTTGATAAAAAATAAATGTTTAATGAACAAGAAATTTTTAAGTTTTATCTCATTTCGTGCGTGCTACAGCATTTAATAAAAATCAAACATGACTGGTGAGGTACAATTTAGGAGACTGTTACGATTTAGGCAATTCTTCCTTACTTTCCTTCCGTTGAGTAATGGTTATCTTCAACAAGGAATATTCTCTTGGCAACAGTTTTAAGATATATACACCTTATAGATTTTAGAAAATCTCTCTATCATATACTCTAAAGAAGAATCTTTTTACGAATCAATAATGTAGTCTATTCTTTGTAACTGCACTACTGAACTGGTGCAATAAGTTAGAATGAAATGAGTATATCTTTTTCACTCTAACTTATTGCATCAGTTCAGCAGTACAGCTATAAAGAACAGACCTACGGTAAAACAGTCCCTACTATTAGCTGACCCTTTTAACGAGAGCTTACCGATTGCAGTGCTGTGCTTATAACTAAACCACCAGTTTTAACCCTTAAGCACTGACAGGAGTCTGATAGACTCCCAATGAAATAAAAAAACTTATTGTTGTTTTACTTCCGCTTGCGTGTACACATCGCGTCCGTCTATCTTTTCTTTAGCCCGTAAGATACGAAGTAACGATAAGGAAAGACATTTCGCACACTTTCTCAGGTAATTATCAAACTTCGAAATATTTTTGTAGATCTGTGTCAGTGCTTAAGGGTTAAATGCAGCGTTTCAGTGAAGAATACATTGACTATACTTTGGAGTACATTTTCCCTGCGCAGCAAGATAGATTCGGTGTTGGCGAATTTGAATCGCGCACGAGGTATCTTCGCGTAGCTCCAAGAGAGGCTCGACTCGCGAGAGTTTTCTGAAGATTTTCGTAGGCGATACCCGTTGCGATAACGGCACCGCGGCCAACGATAACGACAAACTCTCGTTCGCCCGTTCAGCTGCACGTGTCGTGATGTCACGAATTTCTGTCTCCTACGATTCGTCGCGCTTATTTTCGCGAAGGCGCCGTTCAGGCCGCGACTACCAGGAAGTTGCTCGGATGCACCGTTAGCCGACAGTGTAGCATCATCGATTGCGAGATACGCAAATATAAGTCGTACGGTCTCGCACCAAACGACGCGACGCCCGCAGTGCTCGAGAGCCGGTGTGTGTCGAAAGATTGATAGCACCAGCAATCGCCACGTAGCCGCGCGTCGCCGTCGTAGTCGTAAAAACGCGCGAGGCATTGTTTCGCGCCTCGACACACTCGTAACTTTATTGCGCGCGTGACGGTTTTGCGAAAGACCTCGTATCGCCGTGAAGAGCGGATTAAAGGAGAGAATAGAAAAGAAGAAGAACTCACAGGAAGAGAAGGAGAAGAAAAGCTGGCGCGACGACGGGGGAAAATTGACATAATTGAAGGTAATCTCACTTCACGATAATTTGCATCGCGAAGAGAATTCGGCGGCTCGATGTGGAAATCACCCTCGTTTCTCGCGGCAATAAGAGGCGGGGAGGAAAAGGCACTCTCAGGCATCCCCGCTTACCGAGATCGTGCGGTTGGTAATCGGAAGTTGTGCAAATTCCAAGGCACACACGTAAGATTTGTGCTCACGCTCGCGTGCACGCGTGGTGTGCGTGAAGCGTACGCGGCGAACGCACACGCGGAGCAAGGGCGGATCCGAGGCGGGGAATCGGAAGGAGCGATAATCGCGAAATTTACATGCCGGAGAGTTGCATCAGATGCATAAGATTAGTTCGTGAAAGTGCATACACAGTGTGGGTATCTCTCAGCCGCGATGGCTTCTTACTATTCTTTGCGGGGAAAAATCTCGAGTGTCGCGCGTTGTAGCGTGAACGTCGATCCGCTCGTATGTCTTGTTTGCAGAGAAAATATGCGATATATTACCGCACGGAAAGAAATCTCCGTTCCGTATGACTAAATACAGACCAGATGAAAAGTTCACGATGAGAAATGATATTCAAAACAAGAAATGATATTCAAATCCTAACCAACTAATGCCCAACACTGATACGCATCAATTTCATAGTGGTAACGTCCTATACCTTCTGTGTTGAAGAAGTTATTATATGTGATTTTATATATATGACGCAAAAAATTATTTGTGATCTTATATATCAATATATACTGATTCATTTTGACTGCAGATTCTTTCATTATTTTAATCGAAGAAAACTTTGATCGATTAATGCCCAACACTGATGTCTCTGCTATTTGGGATTGAGTAGAAACGAAGGAGTCCTGCACGAAGAGAATTTTATAGTGAAAATTGTTACAATATTTCGTAACAAAGGGATATATAGACATTCTGCAGTAATTTATTGCCCTTTTGTTTTTCGTGTACTATTTATAATATATATATATATATATATATATATATATATATATATATATATATTTTTTTTTTTTTTTTGAAAACTAAAGTGTGCTATTAAAACAATTCGCTAAGTTTCGAACAAAATTTGCTATGCTTCCTAACAATAAAAACCTTCCTGTACACAGCTAGAAACATAATAAAATTGAACAGAATTTACATAAAAAAAGACTATATAATTTCCCCATATATATTCTCCCCACGTACAGGAATCTTTTTACAATTAAATTTTTCCCGCCTGCTTCATATTATTCTTGCTCACACATGCAAGTAACGGAAAATTTAATTACACTAACGGAGTTATTTTCTTCTGTGCGGGATATGTAATTATCAAGTAACAATTATATAATAGTACATGATGATATGTATGAGTGTTGTGATATGCATTACTTCATTAAAAGTTTCTTTGACTAAAATAATCGATGAATCAGTAATCAAAATTGGTTATATATACAATCACAAATAATTTAATCGATCAATAAAATTAATTATTAATTAGTATTTAATAAATTATATCAAAGTTTGATTAATAATTAATTTCACCAACCAACGAAATTGTGTTCTTATACAAGGTGTCCGTTAACTCGTCACGTAAAATTTTGCGTTATTAATCAAAGAAGATTCGTGAATGATCACGCACTATACGGTAACTATACAGTAAATAAACTGTGACGGTAACTATACAGTAAATAAACTGTTCGCTGCTATGCATGTATATCAGGTTAAAATAGTCCTCCATTATTTTCCAAATGACCACATAGATGTTTAGTTATTAATTAAAGAATATTAGTGTATTATCGCGCATAACTGTACACCAATCTTCTTTAATTAATAATTAGACATATATGTGGTCATTTCGAAAATGGTAGAGGATTTTTTGTTTAGTTTGACCTAATACACAAGCATATATAGCGGCAGACGTGGCCATCATAGCTCATCTACCGTATGGCGCGCGATCATTCACGAATCTTCTTTGATTAATAACTTAGAATTTTACGTAATTGTTCGCAAAATGGTAGGGGAATTTTTTATTCAATTTCACCCGATCTAACTGTACCGCGGCTTTTCTCTGAATTACCGGACACTCTGTATGATGATTGATTAATTTCGACTACAGACTCGTCGATTATATTTCGCTCCAAGAAGATTTTAATCGTCTAATGTCCAACACTGATATGCATTAAATACATAGTAATAACGTTATTATATTCCATGCTTAAAAGGTTATCCGCAAATTTTATTTCATACGATTTCATACGTGACAACTGATTAATTTTGATTATTGATTCACCGATTATATTTCAGCGAAACAAAATTTTAATCGATTAATGCTCAACACTGAAATGTACTAATAATAAAATAAATAATGATAACGTCTTATACCTTCCGTGTTTAAAATATCACACCCCCTCCCAAGTTTTATTTTTACCAACGACCTCGTACCGGCGCGCGAAAATCCGGGAATGAAACGAGAGAGGAGCGCGGGGGGCACGCCGGGCTGAATAACGGGTTGATTCGGCTTGAACTCGAAGGCATGCAAAATCGTTCTTGCGAAAGCCATAAAACGTCTCCTGCGCGTCGGATATGTTCCGCGGGACAATCGCGGAAGCGCACATCGCGATTCTAATTAAAGGCTATTGGTTCCCGATACGGTTCCGTGCCTTTACAATCGCAGAAAAGACGGTTGAGAGCGAGGGGCGGAAGGCGTCCGTAGCGGCAGAGATGTACGGTTATACCTCGACTTACATGTGTGTCCGGCCATCTCTCCCCCTTTCCCTTCTCCTCTTCCCTCGTGTGTACAGGCCTCGAGAAAAGACCACGGCGCGATCAAGAAACCGCGAAAGCTGATTAACGCGACGCTAATTAAATGCTTACGGTTGATCCGGTCCTGTGATTCCCGCGACTGTCGAACTCGAGGCGCTCCGCTGGTCCAGAGACTCGCCTGCTTTATACTTCATCCTTTTACCTGAAGTCCTTTCACACGATACTTTCTTTTCTCGCGAAGTATGCGGCTCGTTATCATAAATTTCAAACGAAATTTTACACGAAGTCTTGTTTCAAACGAAGAGTCGCAAAAGCGCATCTTCAATTGCATGCGGCAAGGAGGGAACCAGCAGTCTCGCGGAACCCACACAGAGAGAATGATTTCGTTGAATTTGGTTGAAAAATAAACGCTTCTTTGGAATAGTCTAAACGAATTTTTCGATTGATCAAACAAAATTTTGTTTAAAGCAACAAAAATATTTATTTGCGGCTTAGTTCCAAAGAAATATTTTTGTTGTGTCAACCAAATAATTCGTTCGGACTATTCCAAAGAAACATTTATTTGAATCAATAAATCATTCTCTCTGTGCATCTGTATCCCGCTGTATTTCGCGCGGAAGTCTCGAGGAAACACGTAATCGCGGTCGATTAGCAAGAATACGCATATCAGATTGTAAAAGTTTAAAAATCGAGACAACGACGAGGTCCACACGGATGTAACCCGTGGGAGTTTGGTTCACTGATCGCAGTCTGTGCGATAAAATCGCATAACGTCGACACTCGCGTCGCCCGGATCGTCAACGGAAATCGGAGCAAGGACCGCAATTAAAATTGATTACAACAGTTTTCCTAACGGCGTGACGGCGGCGACGATGGAGAAAAAGAAGCCGCGGTGCAGCGGCACAATCATCTTTTCTCTCTCTCTTTCTCTCTCTGGTCTCTCTCTTACTGGCATCCGTTCGCCAGGTTAGGCGACAGTTTTCCGAAAAATGGAGATGATAATGTTGGTACCAAGGAAAATCTCTACACGATATAATTTAAAGATCTGTTCTTTGTAACTACACACTGTTGAACTAATGCAAAAGGTTGGAGTGAGAAAACGTATATAACGTATGCCTCACTTCAATTTATTGCACCAGTTCAGCAGTGCAGTTACAAAGAACAGATCTTTAAATTATATCGTGTAGAGATTTTCCTTGGTACCAACATTATCCCCTCCTTCCTTTTCGGAAAACTGTCGCCTAACCGTTCGGTAGTTGTTTAAGTCGCAGCCCGAAAATAGACAAAACGCGATGCCGAAACGCGTTCACGATAAGCGTATCGGTCGACACGCTGTTTAAATCGTCTCGTGTGACGTAAGCCCAGCTGTCAGTCACTACTGTGTGGCAAAGAATGCTCGCGGCGAATCTTTTTTACGAGTCAAACACAAAGCAAATACACTCTTCTCCCGGTATCGGAGATATCCCCGGCTATCGCTTGCGTAAACATCCCGGGAAACACGCCGTGCGATTTAATAACGAAAGCATAGAAGTCGTTGATCGAACGTCGCAAATACCGATGTTTATCGGGCTTCTTCGTTCGAGCGATACTTGATTCATCGTGGGGCGAGATAACTTTTAGTAAAGTGGAGTACATTAATTATCGTACTTTAATCTTAACACCATTTGCTAACGCTCACGCAGTAAACAATTTCTACTTTATAAAGTCTCTCCATAGAGGTTCGAAGCATATGATATAAATTATAATCGCTTATCCATTGTGATTATCTATACTTTTGTACAGATTGCTATAATTAATTATAACTGTTACCTCGTCAACTTCAATATCAATATCGATATTCTGATTAGAACTGATTAGAATTTCCTCCATGTAAAGTGTACTTACAGTGTAAAAAATGTAGATAAAATAACAAATATATTGATATTTATACAGTATTGATATTCTGATTATCAGTCAAATTAGAATATCAATAGATTAGAATATCATACTGTAAAAACTTATTAAATTTAACATATTTCATGTCCCAAATAATTCACTCTCATTTATGTGTAAATTTAACACAAAACAAATGTGTTAAAAAGTAACACGCATAATATAGAAAAAATTAACACAAGAATTTAATACTTACCGTTAGGAATCACAGGTTATGTTAAATTGACATATTTAATATGTCAGATATAGATTATGTCAATTTAATATTTTCACTTCATCAAAACTGATTAGATTAATACTTCTCTCAAATGTTAAAGTAACGTTTTATCT